CTGCCTTGAACGACCCCGGCGGTTTTGCTTTTTCGCTTGTCAGATGCTGTTCTGTCTCCTGCTCTGCGTTGGAGCGCTGATGAGAGGCCTTGTTTCTTGCTGCAACTGCCGGGCTCGTGACTCCTTCTCTAGTGTACAGGGCCACCTCTTCCTCTATGACCTGCTGGACGAAGAGCTGTTGTTGCTTCTCGTTCGCGTAGTTGATGCAGAGCTGCTCCAGTCCATTTTCCAGTCCAAAGGACTCAAACCCGTATATGTCGAGTACTGAACCGAGCGAACGAACAGCACATGCTACGATTTGAGGCGAGTCAAAGCGCTAAAAACAATAGTTTGATGAGTCGACCGTGCATGCCGCATGCAGTAGGATTACTAAATGCCTTAACGGATGCTGGAAAGGGTATATTGGGTAGCTAGAAGGACGCAGTTTCTACTTGGTGTTGCGCAGAGTGTGGGTGTGCGGCGAGCTTCCTTCTTTTGCTTACTGCCAATGGATTTCAGACTATCGCGATCATTCTGCTGTTTTGTCTTTTGCTGTCCCTGCATGTGGCGAGCAGCACTGTCATTTAATCGTTGCACAATATAGTCAAACAGACTGCTGTAAATGAACTTTATGAGCGAACAGCAGGCGCTGCTGCTTTGCTGTTCATTCCTACGAGTGCAAAGGATATCGCCTTTCAATATGATTCGCCGGGAACGAAGCGCTTCCTCAAGCCCTGCTTTCTGGACGCCAAGCAAGGCCGCTGCGTTGTCGAGGGCCTCTTCCGCTACTGCATCCTGAAGACGCAGATTGTCAAGACTGCCGTTCGTAAAGGAGACATTGGACAAGTGAAGTAAACCCGCAAGAAGTTGCAAGAGCTCATCGATTTCAGTACTCGAAAAATCAGCACGTTTCAGTGCCTCGACCATTGACTCGAAGTTGCGCTGTAAAGCAACCACGTACAAGAAACACATGCAGCTGCAAGGTATCTAGAGCACAGGACAACCAATATTATAGGATGCTAGCACCTCCCTAGTCTCAGTCTTGTGGGCGACAACGCTATTTTTTCCAACACTTCAAAAGCACAAGGAGCAAGAGGCGCACGACCGTCTTACTCGATCCACTTCTTTCCGAATTATGTTTCCATCATCCGTATCGTTTCTTCCATGGGGCACTTGTCGTTCTTTGGCGAAGACTCTTTGAAGGAATGTGGTTGAGTCCTGTGGCTGCAGCATGCGGTACGTCGTTTCGTCCTCTTTCAGCCTCATCGATTTGAGCGCATCCTGACTGGCTCCTAAAATAGGGAGGCACGAGCACGACAAAACGTCTCCATCTTTTCCCAGCGTTTTCAAAACGTCCCGCCCTAGTCCGCAACGCTATAGAACAGGCGGCGCACTACATCTGCAGGGATGTGCTAAATTGAAATAATCACCGTTGAAGTCCGTTCTCTGCACTTACCTCGCAATAGCTGGTAGAAAACGTGGAAATTCCTGTCGCCTCTTTTGTGTGCCGTGATGCGGGACGCTTCCAGTAAGTATGTCCTCAAACTCCCACCCCTCAGAAGGCCTCCGCCGTCAAAATGGAGGAGCGTGAGCCGGCCAATTCGACTGCTGTTGTGATTTCTTCTGGTGGCAGCGTTTCCAAATGATTCAAAAATAGCATTGCATGAGACGATACGCTTCTGTAGTTCTGTTGCTTCTTGTAGAGTTTGGACACCTCCAAGGAGTGCTGCTACTTCCGTTCGCTGCCCTGATACTGTCTTGGGCGCGTCCGTGTTGCTGCTCGAACGTGCTGCACCATCAGAACTGACCCCCAGTGTGTCGTGTGGAGATGTCGATACATGAGTAAGAAAGAGCATAAGCTGTTTGCTGGTTTCGGTCTTTCCAGCACCACTTTGTCCCGATACTACAATAGTCTGACTAGTCTGTGTCCCGACAAGGCGACGCAGAGCTTCCTCTGCTACGACAAAGGGGTGCGGCGGCGGTCTGTTCCTGCTCGCAGTAGTCTCCCTGAAGGCTCGCTCCATGGCAGCTACTACGGATGGTGGATCGGGTGCTCCTACAGGACCATTTGCACTGTGCTTAGTGTGTTTCATTAACGGATTGAGTTCGGGAGATTCCTTAGGGCCAAGAAAATCGCCAGCATTGAAACTGGGTCGCCTGCAAATTGGTAATACTCCTGGGAGATTATCCAAGAGAGAGCTGATAGCTGTGGTAGCATCTGTCTGACGGGGCGGTTCCCCTGCCGATGAGCTTTGGTCTTCGTTCAGCTGACGTCGATATATCCTGGCGACCTCCCTCCAGTGCCGATATAGGGATATCTGCTGTGTTGAGTACAAGTGAGGCAACGGCTTGTAGGGGTAGT